AGAGAGAGAGAGAGAGAGAGAGAGAGAGAGAGAGAGAGAGAGAGAGAGAGAGAGAGAGAGAGAGAGTTTTCCATCAACAGGATGAGCAACGCACCTGCAAACTGGCAAGCCTCCAACCCCGCGGCTGGCCTCGCGCTGCTGCCCGGCTATGGAGGATGGCCGACGGAGGACTTAGGTGAAGACGGCCGAGGTGTGAAGATGGCCGAGGGTCTTCGACTCTTCGATGATGACGGCAGCGGGAGGATGAGGTGGAGGACACGACTGGAGTGTCTGGCGGCCTGGGCGGGAGATCACATCACCCAGCGTTCGAATTCGGACGTTGGGACCAAAAAAATTCCGGGCCTTGGCGCAGCCCGAAAAAAAAATTGTGTGGGCCCGGTTTCATTTTTATGACAACCCCCCTCTCACTTGCACCCCGCCGCCCGAATTTTTTTTTTTTGTCTACCCTTAATTTAGGCCTTGCGGCGCACGTCGTGCACGCTGCCGCGCACGACATGCACTGCAAGTACGACTTTTACCTATTGATAAAAAAATTAGGTCAAGAGTTCAAATCCTGATGCTTGAAATAATGAAAGAGGCTACACCCCTTTGACAAAACAAAGACTTAGTGGCCAACACACCTGATATTCAGACTTCTGAGCAAGAAGCTGCAGAGCTTTAGCGGCAGACTTGGTCACCAGGAGAGTCAGCTTAGTGTTCCCCTTCACTGCATCTAGTTCCTCGGTGAGTCGACTGACAAGACGGCTCATTTGCTCCTGGGTGGGAGAGCCACTCCTCACCCCAGCGGTAAACATGCTTGTCACTGTGTCTGTCATCCTTGACAATGACTGTGCAAGATATGCTTGCTGAAACTGCTCAACTGCTGCCATTATCTGTTCCTTATCTTCCTCCCTGGTAGAAACAGCGCAAATTATTATCAGAAAGTGACAGCATACAATGGTACAAGTCGTACACCCTCTCCACTCGCTTTTACAGGCATGCATCCACACACAAGGCTCAGATGATGACGTCAAGATTCACACAAGATGAGCACGTGGAACTTTTTTACATCAGGTCTCTTCCCTTCGAGCAGCCATGGCCACCGTGGACAACAATGTGAAGCAGGTACGTGTCTCTCTCTCTGTCTGTTCTCTGTCTGTCTGTCTGTCTGTTCTCTGTGTCTGTCTGTCCGTCTGTCTGTCTGTCTGTCTCTCTCACACACACACACACACACACACACACACACACACACACACACAGAGAGAGAGAGAGAGAGAGAGAGAGAGAGAGAGAGAGAGAGAGAGAGAGA